TTGAATCGAACTCCCCAGCCTTTTTTGCTTTCGCTATTTTTCAGCTATGGTCTTAATTTTTTCTTGGGGCAGGCTGGGACTTTGATCCTCCTACCCACACTCTAGTGTAGCTAAGACTACTGGTGGATACCATCACAACAAACTTGTTGGTTGAGATGGGGGTCTCTCTAACTGTTTGCCAGGGCTGGTCTTCAGACACCATCCTCCTGATCTCTGCCTCCCTGGTAGCTAGGATTACAGGCCTGGCCTACTAGGTTATTCTTACTAATGTATTTTTTATGTTATTACCACTTGACCATCACTATAAACACAAGGGTTTTTTTTTCCCCTTTCTTTTTTTCAAAAATTTTTAAATTCTATCAATAGAGTGCCAGTATAAAAAGAAAATATCATTTTTATAGGTTCAAATATGCCATATTAGGCTTGCAATGAGATTAGGCCTGGGGGCATGACTGCTCAAGGAAAAGAAGATGAGTATTTTTCTTTGTATAATATTATCAATTTTTAAAATAACATAAAGCAATGAAAATCATGAATGAAGTAAATATAGCAGTGTAAGCAATGTCAATATTGCTCAGCTGAAATCTCAGATTCACGTTAACACAACTTTTCTCATCACAGGCTGTGAGCCCATTCCTGTCCGCTATCTTGAGTGGAGCAACATAGAATCCATCATAGCCATCGTCTTTTCTTGCCTGGGCATCCTCGTTACCTTGTTTGTGACCCTCATCTTTGTGCTATACCGGGACACTCCTGTGGTCAAATCCTCCAGTCGAGAACTCTGCTACATCATCCTAGCTGGCATCTTCCTCGGTTACGTGTGCCCTTTCACTCTCATTGCCAAACCTACTACCACATCCTGCTACCTCCAGCGCCTCCTCGTTGGCCTCTCCTCTGCCATGTGCTACTCTGCTTTAGTGACCAAAACCAATCGTATTGCACGCATCCTGGCTGGCAGCAAGAAGAAAATCTGTACCCGCAAACCCAGGTTCATGAGTGCTTGGGCCCAGGTGATCATTGCCTCAATTCTGATCAGTGTGCAACTAACCCTGGTGGTCACCTTGATCATCATGGAGCCTCCCATGCCCATTCTGTCCTACCCAAGTATCAAGGAAGTCTATCTTATCTGCAATACCAGCAACCTGGGTGTGGTGGCCCCTGTAGGCTACAATGGACTCCTCATCATGAGCTGTACCTACTATGCCTTCAAGACCCGCAATGTGCCCGCCAACTTCAACGAGGCCAAATATATCGCCTTCACCATGTACACCACCTGCATCATCTGGTTAGCTTTCGTGCCCATTTACTTTGGGAGCAACTACAAGATCATCACTACCTGCTTTGCAGTGAGCCTCAGTGTGACGGTGGCCCTGGGGTGCATGTTCACTCCCAAGATGTACATCATTATCGCCAAGCCCGAGAGGAATGTACGCAGTGCCTTCACCACCTCTGATGTGGTCCGCATGCATGTGGGAGATGGCAAGCTGCCCTGCCGCTCCAACGCTTTCCTCAATATTTTCCGAAGAAAGAAGCCAGGGGCAGGGAACGCCAAGTGAGTTGTCTGATCTGGGCCATTCTCTCTCTCTCTCTCTCTCTCTCTCTCTCATTTGTCCAAATTGTTTCTCTCTACTTTCTCAAAATTTTTCTCTCTTTTCCTCTTTTTTCAAATCTCAAATTCTGTTGTAGCAATACAGAGCTAAAAATCCTCTTTGCTTTCATTCCTTTGAAAGAGCAAGGACCATGAAGCAACAATGAACTGAAGCACAACTGCCGTTCTGCCAGTGGTGTTTTTCCTTTTATATGGGTCCTGCCTCTAATGGAGCATCAACACACCTCTTTGGTCTGAGTCAGAGATGCAAACACTATTCTAATTTACAGTTTAGACCATGCTTGAAGACAGTTTCAGATTTATTATCATTCTGGAACCACATCATAACTGATCTGGGGTGGAGGGCAAGAAATTAAGCACCCTGAGGAAATTTCCATTTCAAAATTGGACTGCAACTAAGAGCCACACTGTCTTGAAAAAAAGGTCCTTTAAGTGACAGCCTTATCATAGCTCTCTTATTTATTAAACTGTAATGCATGTTGTAAGACAGGTGTTCCAAAATGCTTCACCTGAATTGGGTTATCTCTACTTCAAGGCCATAATCAGAATGATTTCTTAGTCTCAAAAGCTAAACATAAACAAGCAACCAGATAAAGGCAATGACACCGAACTTAAAAGTCCAGATGATTTATGTTCTGGTAATTCTTTTGAGCAGTTTCCTACTAATTTTGTTTTAAGATGAAGCATGTTAAATATTTTCATGTGTCATTTTTCTGAGACCCATGAAAACAAATTTCAAGTTCCATTTACAGTTTTAAAAATGACACAGATACTTTAGAACCTGAAGTTTTAAAGGTAATTGAATTACACAAAAAGTAAGCAATTTCCTATTAGGATTGATTTTATTCTTTAAAATGATCCTCTGAAAGTGAAAATTTTATTTGTAACAATTAAAACATATATATCATTTTATAAATAAAAATTTTATAAATTTTTATTTACTTCGGTCAGTAAGCAAGGTAAGTGTGATGGATGTTATTTTCCTCTACTGTTTAGATCAGGAAACTAAGCTGATGTTCATTTGCGTTACTTAAATATGATCCCACTTAGCCATTCTTTGCCTAGGTCTGAAACTGGAATGAAATTTCTTAACATATATCAAAAATTTGCATGCACTAAAATTCTGGGTTTTATATGTTTATTTGTCATGTCCAACATGAGCACGTTTAAAAAAATCATATCACTTGTGAGTATAATGAGAAAGTCTTAGAAAAAAAGTTTTTAAATCCATAGTTACTATTATTTGAAGCAAAGACATCCCTAAGTTTTATCAACACAAGGATGAAGCCAATAATTTGTGCTTAGTTCTCACTGAATCAATTTCAACTTCTTTACCAGATAATGCTCATAAAAGTTGCTTGATAACTTCTTCACCTTTGCCATGAATTTCTTTGTAGCATCCTGGAAGGGTTATTAGCATGAAAGAAAACATCAGTGCCTGATCATGAGAGAAAAAAGAGAAATAAACCATTAGTTACAGTGCACATATGTAAAATGGCATCCTGGCAATTTTATTAAGAGGAAAGGAATGAGAGAAACCAAACTAAAAGAAGGAAGATACTCTTTAAACTGTAATGTTCCTTGGGATTCCCTGTTCTGAATGGTATATGGTGTCATAAGGGTTCCATTCAGTCATCCACGACATCTCGTTCCATGTTTCTAACTTTTCTGCCTTCATTTTGGTTCTTAAGAAATTTGTACATGATTTTTGGTCATGAGTCATTTCTGAAAGTTGTTCTGAGAACCTATAAAATTAAGATCTCCTGTGTCAGTGCCCAGGAATGTGCATCCTTGAAAGCTCTCCCAGTGGTTGACAGATAAATGGGGCCACCTTTCCAGGAGAACTGTGACTAAAGAGTCATACACAGTGCTTGCTGTGGAGCTGAGAGGGAGCTACCTGACATTACTTTGGTGATGTGTAGCCCTTCTCCAGCAGCCAGACATTGCTGTAGGTTTGGACCATTTTCCCATACCTGAACTGCTTTCCCTGTAATCTGAGAAAATGCTTTTCACCTTTATGAACTTAGAAATTAATTTCATTTTAGATTTTGCATTTGAGAGAAAAATTGGCTTATCTCAATTAACTGATTTGATTCTCTTGGGAGTACAAGTTTTACCAGCAAATTGTTTAACTATTAACTTTAATTTATCAAACATTATCAGATTACTCTGTTGTGAATATAGTTCTAATTAACCATTATAACATGCATCTTTCTTAGTACAATTTGTATCACCATGAAAAAGAGTTGACCCATAGAGGTCAACTTGTGTGGAAAGCAATCATTTGTTTACTCATTTTTCTTATTTATTTTGATGCTCTGTGAGACTGTAATTTTAAAATATAACAATAATCTCAGCTTCTATGTTTTTAACCTTTCTTTATTGCCATTTTATGTTTTCCTGGTTTGTTTCCAAAGTTACAAAATTCACAAGCAATCTAATATTTTCTGCTGCGATAAAAGTCTGGCAGAGTTTTGCCAAGTGAAGCAAGGGGTTGAAAGTGCTAGAGAATGTATCATCAATGAGTTTATTACCATTCTGGATGTGCAGTTCCTGCATTGATGGTGCACTGAGTGTGCTCAGCAATCTGCATATGTAGCTATAAACACAGAGCAGATGCTATAATGAAGAGCTTCCAACTGGTCTATCTGTTGAAATACTGTTCTGAGGAGATGCAAATCCAATGACATTCTCACAACAGCCCGTTTTTCACATAGATTGGAAGGGTGATGTTGCATGACTGTTTTTGCAAAGTTTATTTAAATTTTTAAATTTTAGTCATAGCCAAATATGTGACACAACTACAGATTTGGACACTTGCTTTACATTTTCTAAAGATAATTTAGGAAGAGTTTAATCAACAAATTCAGAGTTGGGTTACTCAAATTATTTACAGTAACAGTCTTTTTTAGACATAGTTCAACCCTGGAAAATCGAGTGAAATATAACTGCCTTTGACATTGCTAATTTCTTTATCTTTCATTTTAAAGAGGAAAATATTTAGGCCTAAGCTAATATAAAGATATCAGAAATTTCTTCTTTTTTAGCAATAGAAGAAACATAGAAATCCATTGACATTCATAAAGAAGTAAATTATTTAGATAGATATTTATTATTTCCTCTTAAGAAAAAATGAGTTAACATTATTTAAATTAAAAATTAATATATAAATAAGTGCTTATTTAAAAATCGTTATATCAATGTCTCAATGTCAAACTAACATTTCTAGTTATTTTCTGGATAAATAAACTCAATGACTGCCAAATAATTTGATGGCTCATGGAGCCATAATGTGACAATGCATTCCTCTGAATTTTTGCATACCTAATGTGTACAAAACTAAATTACAACCACAAAAAATGTATCAGATTGGTATAAGAAGCAATTTTACAGCATAGGCTCCTGTGAACAGAATGTTATTATTCTCCTAAAATATTTCCTAACCATTTGAATGTTTTTGTTGAATGAAAAAGCTATGTGAAATAGTGACTGGAACAATGCTCTGAGGAAATTTTCCTCTTTACTGTCTACTAAAAGCATATGTTTTCCACAAGTAGAAGTAACTTTGGCCTGGTAAGCATTTTTGTTTGTCTTTTCTCCTTTGATTATGAAAGGGCCTGATAGTGAGCAAATAGATACCATAACCAAATAGCAGTAACATCTCCCTCTAATAAGAACTCATTCACCAGTCTGGCTCATGAGAAAATCTGTCACTTTGAAATTAGTTTTTCTGAACCATATAATATATGACTTTAAAAGTTATTGTAATTCCTCATTTGATTTTATAGTAAATATCAGAGGATTTTATGGAACATTATGTTATAGAATTTTACCACTTGACAGAATATTTACTGAGGATCTTCTACTGCTGATTTAATCATCTGTGCAATCAATATTGTTTCATCCATAAGCTTGAAAGCATTTAGGTACTTGATATAGTGTTAGGATAAAAAATATATAAGAGCAAGTATCCTGCTGTATAGTAAAAAGACAAAAATATAAGTAAATATGCTGGGATAGGAGACATAGTACACAACTATGAGTGTCCAAGGGAGGAAGAGAGAAGTCTACCTATGAAGTACCATCTGGGAAGGACTGGGACGATTTTTTAGGAAAAGCAGCATTTGAACTTGATCTTAGAAACTTTTGTCTATAGGAGAAATTGTGCTATGGGGAGATCACCTAGCATGCGGGAAATGAAGATTCAGAAATGTCAATGTACTCTGGGCCACAACATGGGATCTGACATGATTAAAGCACAGGGGGATATAGGGATGGCTGAATTTATAGATGCAGGAAGGAGACAGATTGTAGATACTGGTCAACTTCTAAGAAGAAGTTTAGATACTTTTTCTATAAACCACAAAGTACATTAAAGGCTTTTGCAAAGTTTCATAATCATGTATATAAGTTTTATGGGATAATACAAAGATTATTTAATATAGTTTAAAATTTAAAACTTAAAAATAAAAACCTTAAATTAGGACAATGGAATCAACATTGAATCCAAGGCATGCCCATGACAGTTTTTTGAGTTTGATTCGTTAGAACTGGAATACCAGTAAAGAGATCTGAAAGAAGGAAGAAAAATAGAATATGTCTCTTGTGATTTGAGCCAGGTTGATGGGAAAATACAGTTACTATAAAACAGCGAGGATTTAGGAGTAGTTCAGGGAGATGCTGATGAGTCAGATTTCAGACTTATTGATTGAAAATGTTGTAAGGTATCCAAGTGTAAGCACCCACAAGGAACTTAAAAATTCAAGTCTGGCTCTCAAGAGAAAGGTCTAACCTAGAGTTCAAGTTTTGAAGCTCAATTGTCAGAATGTTTAGTGAGTAGTTATGACATAATAAAAAGAAAAAATGGAAGTAAGAAGATTAGAAAATACTTTCACTTAAGAGAGAAAATGAAGAAGGAAAATCTGAGAATAGACAAAGAGTGA